CCACCCCACCCATCCCATCTCATCCCCCCTTTCCCTCATCGTCACCATGTCTTCTTCACAGGCTTCCACCTCGGCCTCGACGCTCAACTCGAGTTTCCTTCGCCGCCACCCTGCTAGCTTGATACCCAAGCTCGTCCACAACCCCGCCATCACCGACCTCATCAAGAGCCCAGTGACGCGCGAGATGGTCGTCTACCTCGCCAACCAGGCTGCCCACGTCATCCAGTGCGGCTCCACACAGTCCCCGGACTCGCCGCCTGCCACCCCCACCCGCTCCATCGCCTCGGCCGAGGCCGACCCGGCGGGCAAGCTTGAGATCAACGGTCTGCCCAGCCTCGAGACCTTCATCGCCCTGCTGGTCGAGAGGTCCAACGTGCAGGTGCCGACGCTCCTCTGCACGCTCGTCTACCTCGACCGCCTGAGGTCAAGGCTTCCCCGCGTTGCCAAGGGCATGCACTGCACGCGCCACCGCGTCTTCCTCGCCACGCTCATCGTCGCCGCAAAGTACCTCAACGACTCGTCGCCCAAGAACAAGCACTGGAACAAGTACGCCGCGCTCTTCTCTCAGGCCGAGGTGAACCTCATGGAGAAGCAGCTCCTCTATCTTCTCGACTACGATCTTCGCATCGAGGAGGACGAGCTCATGGTCCACTTTGCTCCCTTCTTCCGCCGTGTCGAGACCCGCTCCGAGGCTGGCCGCCGCGAGATGCACCTCCGCGGTCTCGAGTGCGGCCGCGAGCGCGAGCGCTACGTCCGCGCAAGCGAGCGTCGCGTCCACCTGCGCAACCTGCCCGCTTCCGAGGTGCCCTGCTGGAACCAGAAGAGCGAGCCGAGCCGATACGAGCAGCACCGCCGCTCGGCCGCCTACGACTCGCCCGACTCGTTGGACGCCTCTCCGAAGGAGATGTACGCCCAGCAGTCTTCGTCGCTCATGAGCCGACAAGACTCGGTCGAGTCCAACGCGAGCTCGACGTCGTCGGAAGCCGAGCTGACCGACGACAACGGCTCGTCGTCGTCTTCGGCCGAAGACTACGACGACTACGAGGACGACTACCTGGAGCAGGAGGGCCTCGACGCGCGCATGCAGCAGCATTCGGTGTCGGGACTCCCCTCGAGCCGCTCGCACCCGGTCATGGTGGTGCAGAACGAGGAGCTCGAGGCACACAAGCCCGGCTCGGCCATGCACCGCTACCTCTCGCAGGCGGTGCCTTCGAGTCTCAAGAAGAGCACCTCTTCGCAGATCAACATGCAGCAACCCAGCCAGGCGCACATCCCCGTCTCGCATTCGATGCGCAGCGTGCGAAGCAGCTCCAACTTGCTCTCCAGGATGCTCGGCGGTCACCAGTCGTCGGCGGCCTACTGAGCTTCCTCTCCTCTCCCCATCCTCCCCATCCTCCCTGAACCTCCTCGTCTTTTCTTTCCACGGGATCCGGGTTGAGTCGCAATCCTGCACCTGTCGTCTCTGACTTGCTTGGCTTATGCAGCGGGCTGCATGCCAAGCAGGCGAGCGGCTAGGTGGCGATTGGACAACCGAACAGATCACCGGACGCAAACAGCAGCACACTCTCTCCCGCTATCACTCTCCTTGCTCTGTCTTTCTCTCTGTCGTAGCATTCATGTCTTTGGTCACCGTCACTACATCTCTCTCTCTCTCACTAGCATAGGATCTCAGCGCACATCCACTAATCTTGCTCGGGCTTGACCGAGATCACTCTCCTCGCAAATCGGGTTGCTTTCCCCCTTACCATTCAGCATCATCACTCTTACCCCGCTTCCCCCTTTTTTATCTCTTCTTTCTTGCAAAGTGCAAATGCAAATCAAAGATCTGCGAACTTCATATCATCTGTCTGCGTTTGTGCTGGAGCTTTTGCTTCTACTTTGGCGAAGTGTTGGGCGATGACGGCACGACGATCGCCCGAGATCTTGCAAGAGCGTGACACGGTTGAGGGGCGGAATGGTGAATCGGATCGACGGAAGGCCGATCGGGGATCGTCGGCAAAATTCTGACGATCCCACGGCGAGCATTGCGCTTGCCAAGCGAGGCGCGTCAATCGCTTCACACGGGTGGAAGCGAGCGGGGGTCGACATGCTGAAGCGACAATTTGGGGCCGTCGACTGACCTAAGCGCTCGTTGTCACGCCATACCGCCTTCTGCATCTCTGGTCACCACCTCTAAGCGCACTCATCGGCTCCGCTGGAAACAGTCAGGGGCGGTCTCACCCGCTGAGACACTGAGTGAGGAAGCGGGAGCCTGGTGGGCCGGGCGGTCTCAGACTGAGTCCAGGAGCAGCCATGGTGGCTCGAAAACGAAAAGCCGAGACCGCTACACTGCGGCTTGCGCCATCTCCGTTCTTGTGTTCCGTGTTCAGAGAGACGCGTGGCGAGACAGTGGCTGCCCAGCCATATCCCGTGTTCGAGCGCAGGTCTTGAGTCCAATCACCAGTCGTTGCGCTTACTGGCCCCCGTTTGATCATGTCGAGCTGCCGTGAGTGGCAGCCCCGCTCCCTGCGTCGAACTTGACTCAGTTTCTGTGACGAGTTCCAGACTCCGCGAATTCTGCGATTTGGTGCTTGGTTCGACTGCCAGGCTTCAACTGCTGATTTTTTTTGCCATGTGACGTGTTTTTAGAGTTTCAGGACTCGAGCACCGCTGCACCTCGTGGGTGAGCGTGACAGCCACCAACGTGAGCTGCAAACCACCGGCTTGTTGCTACTTGAAGCCCACATGGTGGCTTCCATCGTTCGTGTGCGCCGCTCCGACTTGAGCTGAGAGGCGAGTGCCACCTGCTTGATCGCAGTGGAGCGCTGCAGGTGGTGTTGAGATCGGACAGGTCGAGATGATATGAATTGGAAATTTGGCACTCCGGTGAGGCGGAGTGCGAGCGTGGAACGTTGTCGACACCGCATGCTGCAGTTGCGATGAAGCGACTCAGGCGGGCAGGAAATAACCAAGCAGCGTGTCGACTGCCAAGCACGACGGTTGTGTGGCGTCTGCACCTTGTTTCGGTTGCGGTTGACAGCCGAAAGCAGCCGATCCCCTTGCAGCCGCACCGTCTCCTCGGGCGGCACTGCGCTGCCAACCCACGATACGCCACACCGCCGCCCGTTCCGACTCTGGCGCTCTCGTGCTCAGGCGAGATGAGCATGTTCGCCCGCATGCGATGGAAGCGCGCATGTCCGGCCTCATGGCCGCGATTGGTCGATGTCCAAGCCCACCGAGCTGTAGGTTGCCTGCCTCGGCGAATCGCTTGATCCGCTTCCATGGGTTCGCAGCACACCTCCCCTTGCAGTACTCGCCGTGCAAAGCCTCCGCTCCGAGCGCGGCAACAGGTGCTGGACCACAGCCTCGCACGATGCTCCGCCACCCCACATGTCTCCGTCCCACGCAGTGCTCGGATGCCACTTGCTTGCATCTCGCTCGAATCTCATTGTAGCTTGCTCGCGTGCTAGATCGCTCCCATCGGCACCATCAGACGCCGCTGCAAGGTGCACGCTCGTGCTTTAGAGATCGGTGGTCAGTTGTTGCGTTGCTTCCCGGCGACTTGTTGCCAACTTGGTCAACACCGTAAGCCACGGCGTCTGCCGCAACAGCCACCGCTGACGTCCCTCTTGTACCGAAGTTGGTTGGACGAGCCCCGTATATAGTAGCGCAAGGTCTTCGGTCCTTTCTCTCCCACTGTCTCGTCTCCCAACCCACGTCTCCCTTCAAGTTCCCAAGCCCTACTGCACCTACACCGACGACATGACAGACTGGAAGAGCCCCGTCGTGATGGGACACGCCTTCTATGCGGCGACCGCGCTCATGTGGTTGTGCGTCGGGCTGTTCATCTACGATACGCTTCGCTTCTTGCGCTTCGACGTCTCGATCATCATGGGTCGTCGACCGCGCAGGTGGCCGCAGCTGCCGTACCTGTTCAGCCGTGTGGGTCTGTGGACCTACCTGCTGACCAACATTTACTTTGTGGTGGCGGGCACCGAGTTCAACTGCAACGGCGTGCTGCAGGCCGTCGAGATGCAGATGGGCTGGATCGCCGTGTCGTCGTCCATGCTGCTCGCCTTCCGCGCCGTGTGCGTGTACTCGGGCCGTGCGCGCACCGTGGTCTCGCTGCTGCTCACCGTCCTGACGCTTGGCATGCTCGCCACCTGGATGGTGGGCGTCAAGGACACCAAGGCCGCCTGGGTGGTCGGCGGTGGCAACCCGTGGCAGGAAGGTTCGTGCGCGTTCACGTACATGTCCAAGCAGTACTCGATCAAGTACATTGTGACGATCGTATTCGACATGGTGGTCATGCTGCTCACTGTGGCGGGCGTGGTGCGCATGAACGGCGGCTCGCGCATCGGCGCCGTGCTGGTCAACCAGGGCATTCAGTACTTTGTGCTGACCGCGCTCATTAATGCGCTCGTCACGGGCCTCACACTGGCGGACCTCAACCCGGTCATGTCGCTGATTGGCGCCATCCCCAGTGCCACCATTTCGGTCATGTGCTCGACGCGCCTGTACGTCAAGCTGGCCGAAGAGGCAGCCCCCAAGCCCGAAGGCGTCCACTCGTCGCAGCTCTCGTCGTCGCTGAGCGGCTCGGGTGCGGAGAAGATCGCACGCTTCTTCAAGCGTTCGAGCCAGATCCCATCGCAGCTGCAGCCATCGATGGCTATGCGCAGCACGTCGTCGTCCAACAACGGCACCGCTGTCGCTGGCCTCACCTCTCTCAGCTACATTGCGCGCAACGAGTCGCAGTCGCGCGACGATAAGAGCTTTGCCATCAGCTCCCACGACGACCTCGAGGCCCAGACCACGCGCGCTCAGCCCGGCACCGTCGTCAACATTGTCGAGGAGCGCACCATCGTGCGCGAGCCCATGCCCGACCACCTCGCTGGCGTGCTATACGGCCGTACCTCGGACACCGCGGATGAGGGCGTTGCCGACCACCCGTACAGCACTGTCAAGGGCCATTTCCCGCGCCTAAGCAAGTCGTGACGTGCGCTCGCCTGCTCATCGCCCTTCCGTAATGAACCTAATTTAATGCAGAGCCCGACTGACGCAAGTGAGAGCGCAGGATGCAGATAAAGCCCAATAACATAACTGAGATGAGGCTCGACCGAGGAGGGTCTGCTGAATCGATTGCGCAGTCCAAAATTGCAGCTCAAGGGGAGCCTCCACTGCAGCCAGGTGTGCTCCGGGATCCGAGTCTCGGCACAGACTGCAACACGCGGGGTAGCCATTGCGAGGCTCAAGCCGCCGATGAACCCATTCTTCTGACCACACTTTGGGCGTCTGTCGTCGCTATCGCGCATCGACGAAACCTCTCAAATTTGCGGGATATCCGACAAGCGGGCCTCACGACTTTCGTCCACGGCGGCAGCGCAGCAGCGTCGGCTTTTCCGCAACAATGCCGCGACTCGAGACGAGTTCCGGCTGGTCTCGGCTGACTGCCGACATCAAGGCGGTCTTTGCGCCGAGCACAGGCTCGATGGGAGAGCGCGGCGCCATCCTCAAGTCGGTGCTCCTGCGCTCTGTGCGCATAACGGTGAGCTCGAGCGGCCAGGCTCCAGTGCTGCCGCTGCGCATCCGACCGGCATTTGTGGTGCTCAACGTGCTCGACCTCATCTTTCTCGGCATCCTCGGCTTCCACCCGCGCGGGCAAACGTGGATCCGCCTCAACGACAAGCTGCTCCACTTTGTCTGCTTCTTCCTCGCCACCGCCATGTTCTACATGATCTGGGACGTCGACGAACCGGCGCGCACCAGCTACCTTTGGCGCAACGCATCGCTCATCCTCTCCGCCATCACCTGCCTCCTCGTCGGCGGCATCGGCTCCGAGATCGTACAGAGCCTGCTGCCGTACAAGCAGTTTCAGATCGGCGACATTGTGGCCAATCTGCTCGGCTCGTCGTTGGGATTGTGGTTCTCCTACCACCTCGAGAAAAGGTACCGCGCTCGCAGAGAGCTCGAACGCCTCTATGCGCCGCTCGACATCGAAGACTATGGCGACCTCCTCGACGATGAAGACGACGGCGCCGTCTTGGATCCAACTCCGAATCCCAGATCAAGCCTCAAGACCTCAAGCAGCACGGCAGGCGCGAATAAGAAGACGCGCTTTGCCGCGGATGTCTGGGACGACTCGCTCGACATCGACAACCTCCCCGCGCGTGGGCCCGCGCGAGCCGCACCCGAGGCCACGCCAGCAGTGTCGGGATCCGCTTCGCGTCAGGACATCTTCACCATCGACGACAACGAGCCGCCTTCGCCACCTTCGCAGCCAAACGTATGGACTCAGGCGCAATGAAGCTGCTCCGCATCCTCTAAGCCCTTGTCATCCCATCGTTTGTCATTCTCGGTCTCACCAGGGCCGTCGGAAATCATGCACAGACCGACGCTGCCACACGCACGATGGACAGGGTGAATAACTAGCGAGAGTCGGCTGGATTGGTATACAGAAAGCTAAAGTAGCGAGAGTCCGTGGGATGGGCCCGCGTTGCGGCGAACGCAGGGCGATCGGAAGGCGACAGAGACATGATCGATGCAGGCGGAACAGAGTTGCAGTAGACAAAGAAGGACGTGGCAGACGGGGAACAAGAGCGAGGCGCTACTCGAAACTAGGCGCCGGCGTCGTTGAGGAGCTGCTGGAAGAGCGGCTTGGTCGGAAGCATGTTCGGTGGGCGGTTTCGAAGATAAAGCATAGGCATCTTCTGCCCGTCAAATTGATGGAGCTGTAAGGCGTACGCTGATACGCCCGGCGCCATGAAGCCCGGATGGTTGTCCTGGAAGTTGTACCAGGTCGGGATCAGCTCGAACTCCGAGTAGTGGTAGATGGCGCTCGTCTGGGCAGCGCAAGGGTCGAGCACCTGGATGTAGCCATCAGCAGGGAAGGGGAAGAGCGTGAGCGAGCCGTTGGGGTGGAGCGTGTAGTTGCCGTGTTGCCAGATGAGCGACGCCTTGAAGCAGCGGTTGGTCACCGCGTTGGACGTGTACTGGTACTTTGCCTCTTCGAAGAAGCCGTCCTCGGTGAACGAGTAGCTGATGCCGGCCGTCGCGGGCAGCTTGAACTCCTGCGTGATCGGGTTGAAGAAGTCGAGGCCAGTGGTGACGTTCTGCGAGCCCGAAGACCATGTGCCATACAGCGACGTGACGTTCTGCAGCGCCGCATCTTGCGCATCGGCGCCGCTGAGCGCAAACGCCAGTGCCACTACCGCCGAAAACAGGTGTGCGAGTCTCGACATTGTGTCACGCTGGTGCGTTTGATGGAGATGCCTAGGTGATGATGGTGGTGGAGGATAGCCCGTACTGTCGCGTCGACTGCACGATCCAAGTGCATCGGCGCAGATGAGCGGGCCTACATTCCCAAATCGAATCCCAACCCAAATTCGCACCCTCATCTGCACGCGACAAGCAAGCATGGCAACGCCGAGCCGAGCCAGCCTTGCGCATGAGCAACCGACCCTCCGCTCTGCCATCCGCCAACCGGTGGTCCGCTGCTCCCGAGCCTGAGGCACTGGGTCAGACCTTGCAAAGTGGAGATCCGCCGGTGTATTCCAAAAAAATCCTCCAAATTCGAAAACTACGTCAACCACAGCAGTCTGGATGCAACGCGATGCATCCAAAGCTATCCTGCACTCCGCGCAGACTGGGAAGGAGGCGGACCAACGCTGGAACGCGACTCCAGACGGCCTAACATCATAGTGCTATGCGCACGGCGCTCGACTTCTGCTGCCGCAAAAGTGGAGGCAGTGGGGACTTCTTCGCGAACTCCTGCGGCGGGCATCTGGTCCGTGGAGCGGCGCCCCCTCTTTTTTCCATTCTCTCCTTCCTCTCGCCTTGTCGACCCGCACAGCACCATGTCCGACGGAGCGAGAGCCACCAAGCTCTCGTTCGGACTCAAGCCCGCATCCTCCTCGCTGAAGTCCAGCGCCAAGCCGAGCAGGGCTCCTTCAGCGCTCGCCTTTGACGATGGCAGCGACGACGATCAAGAGCGTAGAGACGTCCCGGAGGCCTCGACTTCCTCGAGCAACCGTGGCGGAGCGCGAGCATCCGCAAACCGGCGGACGGACCCGCTCGGCACTCTGTCCGCCAAAGTAGCCGCGCCTCCGACTCGCGCCGAGCGCAAGAAGCAGAAGGAAGCCGAGGCACTGGATGCCTCGGTGTTCGACTACGACGGCGTTTACGACACTATCAAAGAGGCCGAACGTCAAGTCAAGCAGTCCAAGGTTGCGGAGGATGCTTCCAAGAAGCCCAAGTACGTCGAAGGCATCCTCGAGTCCGCAGAGCTGCGCAAACGCGACCGGCTGAGGGCGGAGGCGCGCATGATTCAGAAGCAACGCGAGGCCGAAGGCGAAGAATTTGCAGACAAGGAGGCGTTCGTGACCAACGCGTACAAGCAACAGCAAGCTGAGCTAGCAAAAGCTGAGGAGCTCGAGAGCAAAGCAGAGGCCAAGCGGCGCGACACGGACAAGGGCATGGGCACTTTCTACCGCGACATGCTCAACGACACGAGCGCCGCAAGAGACGCTGCCATCGCTGCATCCTTGACCGCTCAGGCGTCCAGCTCCGGACGCAGTGCGCCGAGAGACCGCGAGCGCACGGATGCTGACCTGGCGCGAGAAGCTCAGCAAAAGGGTCTCGAGGTTGAGCTTAACGATGACAACGAGATTGTGGACAAGCGCACGCTGCTCACAAAGGGACTCAACATTGTTTCCAAGAAGCGCTCTGCCGGCGACACACACGGCACGGCCGCTTCCGAGCGCGAGAGCCGCGAGTCTCGGAAGGAGCGCGACCAGCGGCGCCAGGAGGAGTACGAAGCTCGCATGAATCGCGATGCGCAGCGGTCACGCCAGAGCGCGCTCATCGAGGAGCAGATGCTCGAGCTCGAACGCAAGCGTGCGCTCGAGGAAGACGAAGCGAGTCGACGTGAGCGCAGCAAGATTGATGCGCGACGCAACGACAGCCAAGCCATTTCGGATGCCAAACAGCGCTATCTCGAACGAAAGAAGCAGCGTCTGGCAGCCACATCCGTCTCCGCATCCGCAACGGCGTCCACTTCTTCCTCCGCTACTCCGTAATACTGTCCGGTTGAAATCTTATACCCTTGTCGAAGTGTAGAGTTTAGCCATTGGATTGCGTGCGTCGTATGTACAGGTCGGAGGACGAGGGCGAGCTAGTAGTCGTCGGACTCGTTGAAGAAGCCCGAATAGGTGAGGATGGTGCCGTAGACCAGGCCGCCGCCTGCGATCGACATCCAGCAGGCTGTGGGTGCGATGACGCCCGCATGTGCTAGCGAGAGCGGCAATGCAAAGCCCGAGACGATCATGACGCCGGTCATAAAGTTGCCAAAGTCGAGGAAGCCGCTGTTGTAGTCGGCGGAAAAGTCATCGGCGCCTGCACAACGGGCACACAGGCTGTTGGGTAGCGGTGTGAGCACGTAGATGAGTGCTACGAGCAGTGGTAGCCAATTCGACCACAGTGCGCACGAGAGAATGATGAGCAGGAAGCCCAGTGCAAGCACGAAGGAGAGCAGAATGATAGCTGCGGCCGCAAATCAACGGGGTCGAGATGAATGAGATCCGTCGGAGCATACAAGTCAGCCTTCGTAACTCTCGTTTCTGCCGGTCGTCCTTCAGCCTACTTACTCTTGAGTCCGGCCGCCATGTTGGATGGATGCACGCCTCTATGTCACCTGGATGGAGTCGATGCGGGGGATGGATCTGCGATGCACTGCGACAAGCTAGTTGGCCAGACAACTTCTGGCAGCCAACGCGATGATGATTGGGCCGCAGCCGAGCGGTGCTTCCGAAGCTAAGAGGTGATGTTGACCGCGGTAAAGGGGTATCTTGAGAGGTTGAGGATGCAGCGATGAGAGGGCTGTGACGTGGGGTAGACAGCGTTGGTATCGACCAAGCCGGCACGCTGCGGATGCACGCCGGCTGAGCGTCCTGCATCCATGTGGAGCTGAATCGAATGGCCTGAGCAGAGCATTCGCACTTCGGCGAAGGTATCGGCCGGCACGACATGCGCGGTTTTTTCGTGATCGACTTGCAAAGGAGACTGGCGCTGCAGCGTTGGATGTTGGGCAGCGTCGGTCGACTCAGCTCTGGCTCAATCTCGCAGAGCTTGATGAAATTCAAGGAAAAAGAAAGAAAGTCCAAAAAGCCAGGAGGCAGCAGAACGCGATGTGCTGTTGGACTCGATTTTCAAAAATCGAGCTCACGCGGTGCTGAGCCCACGCTGAGTTGGTGTAGGCTGAGCGCAGAAGCACAGAACTGCGCGGTGGAGAGAGGGCCGTGTGGCTGCTCGAGCGAGTTCGAGGTCTTTTGACATCCAACACTCCTCGCCACCTCACCTTCCTCAACTCACCCGACATCGCACCCCAAGCCAACACTGGGCACATCACCACCACCGGCTTCTTCGCTACGCGCTAAAACCGTCCCGCGGCGCCAACCACCTCCGACTCACGCTGCTTCCAGCTGGAATCACCACCACCAACACCACGCTCGACGCCTCTATCCATCGGTAGCGACTCCACCGCATACGCTCGTTTCACTCCAGCAGCTCCGGTCATCAGCATCATTCGCGGGCGCTGATATCGATCGCACGTTGAGCCGCTTTAGAAGCGCTCCATCACCGTTCCCCCTTCGCCCTGGCCAAGCGCATCTGCGCCTTGTCAACCACCATCATAGCTGCCCTCGCCTCAGCTTCGCTCGCACGCCCGCTGGTGCTCGAGCCCGCCGCTTCGTTCCCCGCGGCTGCCACCGTACTTTCGCCTGAAGGTCGGCTCCCAACATGGCCAAGAGAACTGCTCCCACAACGAGCACCACCGGCCCCGCCTTCCCGCCTTTAGGGCTGGTGGTCGGCCCAGGCGCTCCGGCATCCAACTCGATCAACTCCGCTCCGCAGTCCCCCTACTCCAACCACAACCACCATTCCAGCTCTCCAGCTCCTGAGCCCGCACATCAAGCCAACGGCTTGCCACCAGCGCCCAACAAGTTTGATGTCAGCCAAGCACAGCAGTGCCGTTTGCAGGATGCCTACTGGTCCGACGAAGAGGTAAGTGCTCGCCTGCTCCCATCCCTGCCTAGGTGTCGTTCGTGAGCTGACCCCATTCCGTATTCCTTCTTCCCTTCTCTTCGCTTATCGCCTTCTCTTCGC